CAAAATAGGTGGACCCCAATATAGACCCATGTATACTGTAATCCTTATCATGGGGACCCCCAACAAGGTGGGTGCGGGCGCATAAGTCGCCCTGTTGCTTTCTAGAGGTAAAAGTGGCACAAAACCTGGATTTTAGCGCGATTTTAAGAAAAAACAGGGTTGTTGGACGTGTAGGAAACTATTGCAGTCAGGACAACGTTTCACTATGTCTTGGCCTTGCGTATCCGTGAGCAGGGACCTAGCAGCCACTTGTTGTTCCTCTGGAACACTTCGGACAAGCTGTGCAGGAAGCGGCCCGGCGAACGCAAGTAAGGTTTTGGTCATGGAGGCTCTGGTGACTGTATGCTTTTGGAACCCGAACGCAAGTAAGGTTTGGTCATGGAGGTGACTGTATGCTCTTGAAACATGCAAATGAGGTTTTGGTCATGGAGGCTCTGGTGACCGTATGCTCTTGGTCATGGAGGCTCTGGTGACCGTGTGCTCTTGGAACCCGAGCGCAATTACGGTTTGGTCATGGATGCTGTGGTGCACGCATGCTCTTCGAACACGAAGGGAATTTGATGGCCAAGCTAAACTTCAAGACCCTGGACTCTAAACCGAAGAGCTGGGCAACAGCAAAATACAGAGAAGGATCTGACAAAGGCACGACACAGAAGGATTCCAAGTCCTCAACAGGGAATGTGGAAAAGCCCTGCAGTTCAGCTGGCAGCAATGCGCCCGACAGCCGCAGGATGATTACTGCCGACAGTGTCAAAACGAGCCATGACAGCGTCATGCTGTGCTGAAGCCGTGCTAGATTAAGGCGGACTCGGGAGGCGGCGTGAGAAATGGATGAAACTATCCCTCCCCCTTCCCCCTCCCCCCTTCCCCGCAGCAGCAGTACCGTGAACATGCATGCGAAGCCCGCGGAAAAACCAAGAAGAGGTTCAAAACCCTGTAACAACTATGCGACGAGGCTCAAAAACCTGCACAACCACAGGGCGACCGTCGCGCCCGCCACCAACAAGGTACCCCTAATTTTGGGAAACCCCCAAATACCTTTCCTACCCTAAACCCTAAACCCTAAGCCCTTTTATGCCAGCCTGGCGAAGTAGGAATAAAACAGCATGTCGCTTCGGACTCGGAGTCCTGATGCAAGTAGCAATGCGGCTGTACCTAAACCCCCAAAGTAATTAAGATAATGGCCCCAAACCCTTAAATATGGCCCAAGAGCCCCTTATTCTACATACTTTGGGGTTTAAGGTACTTGTCATGATGTGATGAGGCTGCAGATAGGTTTAGGGTTTTGCAATTCAGGGACTTGGTTTTGGCGTTCAGGGACGTCCTTTTGGAGTTATGGTGCATAATGTCCGCCGTAGTATCAGCTTAGTAGCTGGCATCTGCCGCCTGGTGCGCAGTACGAAGGCAGGAAAACCAGTCGAGTAATTGGATTGGTGATGAGGTGACTACGCGGAAGCTGCGAACAGTTGCCCAGCTAAAGGCTTTAGACAGGCAGCCTGCAATTTAGTGAAGTCCCCCTTGCAGATCAGTGCGTTTTGCTAAGATTGAGCCCTGCATGTGATGCTTCAGACCATTTTCTTCCCAAAGGTTTCAGCACCTCGAAGTCCTTGACAGCACTACGATCTCACCCTCGTAGGCTAGAAGCTTGTGCGATGTTCACCCTAAAGCCCTAAACCCGTAAACCCCTAAACCCCTGAAACTCTGGAACATTAAAGCCTACCCAGGTAGCCTTGGCGCTGACATGCCTTCCCTTGGCGGGCGCAGTGCTGTTCTACCGCCGCAAGCGGCAGGCTGTATCCAGGGTTGGGGTTTAGGGTTTTGGGTTACAAGCTCCCCCTAAGGGTCCATGTACCCAATAATTGGGTCCCTTTGAAGGGATACATAGGCTTACGTAGGGATATTTAGGGTTCAGGGTTAAGGGTCCATGTACCCAATAATTCAATAATTGGGTACTTAGGGCTTTGGTAGTAAAAATAGTACATACAGGTTTTGGTTAAGTTTTGGTTAAGTATATGACTGTTGAATACCTGGAACCTTAGGATTTGGCATGCCAATCCACACTCAGAAGCGCTTGGGGTTTAGGTGTACCTGCACCCACAAAAGTATGTAGGCTATATTTTAGTTTTTTTTGGCAATTATTTGACCTACTTTGGGGGTTGAGGTATAGGTTTGCGCGTGAAGGGTGTGTAGGGTCGAGGAATGCAGCTTTGCAGTTAAAGTTTCTCAGGATTAGAGGAAATCACGACCTAGGATCTAGGAGTTCGGGGGTTGCGAGTTCCGTGGTTTAAGGATTTCCGGTTCTTGGGCTTCAGGGCTGTGGTTGTATCGAAATGTGGATTTTGTTTTCACTTGTCCTGGGTAAGAATTGTGGTCTGCAGTTGGTTTTGATTTATCGTAGCGGCAGGGATCGACCATCTAGTTCAGTGTTTTTGGGCTGTCGGAATGTGCTCCACTCCGGTTTGATCGGGATGTTGGTCTACAGTTCATACCCAATCAGTAAAGTCTAAGCAGTTGGAACAGCGAACTCGGGTCGCTCCTTTAACTGTTCCCTTCTCTCGCTGCTGTATAGGATACCATACTTACACCTAAACACCTATATAAAGAATGTAGAATAATGGGCTCCTGGGCTATATTTACGGATTTTGGGCCATCATTGTACTTACTTTGGGGATTTAGGTAACCGTTTGGAGTATCAACGGCAGATGATGGGGAGGATGCGAGACTGACCTTCCAAGTTCCTGGCGTTTTAGCTAATCTCCCTAATGCCCGATGCATACATACGGTTTACTTGCTGGAGTTTAGTAGGGAATAAAGGAATATAGTATATATAGGGGTTAGGGGTTATGGGTTATATGGGGATTATATTTCCTTATCCCCTACTTAGAACCAGAAATTTCCGGGTTTAGCGCTCCTGAACCCTATCCAAGTCCCAATTTCAGAACCTTGTCATCCCATTATCCTAACGTTTGAAGTATGAAACAACCAGGGGAAGCGCGAACTGTTGGATCCCCTCTGACTGAGCCACAAACTTCTCCCCGTGCTCTGCTAAACCCTACCTAAAACACCAAGATATGTAGAAGAATGGCCTCTTGGGCTAACTTTAGAGGTTTTTGGCACATTATGTTACCTATTTTGGTGGGTTTAGGTAGAAACATCAGGGTTTTGCGCTTAAGCCAGGTATCCCCGAACCTCTTATTGATCCTTAGAACCTTGTTGCTGATGGCTGAATATGATCTTCAATCTTAATACCTGTAGCTTATTGGTTCTTAGTAGGGAATAGGAGAATATGATCCCTATGTAATTCCTATCTAGCATACTCCCACGTTCCCTACTAAGAACCTATATTAGCACCTGTAAGTTGGGTACTGCCCTGGGGGCAGTATCCAATCTGCAAGTAAATTCAGGAGGAAGGCGAACCGCTTTTCCTCGAGGGCTTCGAAGTGCTGTTGATCTTCTGCACCCTCTGGACGCTAGGGTTGCACATCTTTCGCTCCTCTCAGGGCTCCAGTCGCCATATAACAGCGTTCTAGGAATCACCATGCAGATTCTGTTTTTTAAAGCTTACCTTGACCCCAAGAGTTTGCAACATAATGGCCTTTTGGATGTTTGTAGGGGTTGGACCATTCCATTGGGGGTTAAAGTAGACCCGTGTGTTTGTGCATGTGCACTTTGAGGGCAAACTGGTTAGTATTCCCTAAACGTACAAGGACCCAAATAATAGGGTTTTAGGGCCCAAATACCATGAATATGAAAGTATTTGGGCCCTAGAACCCTCCAACGACCCAAATAATAGGGTTTTAGGGATTGTGTTATGCAGGGATTTTCCTCCTACTCAACTTTCAGAGCTTGCTGAGGGTGAGGCTTTTACCCAAACCCCTGGGAGGATTCTACAAAGTGGATCGCCTCTAGGATTGCTAGAACTCACCCAAGTAGTATTTTATTTTGGGGTACTATGGTACCCAATATAGAGTAAGATTATACCCTCCTTTTGGGGCATAGTATTTTATATGAGGAATATTACCTTACTAGGTTCAACCACCAAAAGAAACGCTACACACCCAAGGTTTAGGATGTAGAGTCTAGGGTACCATATGGGTCTTCTACTTTCTAGAGTCTTCCGCAGGTCTGGTTAGTTGCATGTTCTCAAGTTTTAGGGGTAGATCTTGGCCTACGACAGGTCTTTGGCCCGGCTTGAAGGGTTAGTGTCGCAATTTTGTTTATGAGTCCTAAATCCTCTAAACCCTAAACCTTAAGATCATTGGGGATTTTGTAAGGTTTAAGGCGGCGAAGCTGCAGCCCCCCCTGCCAGTGCATGGGTCCAAGTGAAGTTCCTTGGAGTGCAGTTGCTCAGTGCCTTTCCTTTGGTTTCCAACGAGAGTGCAGTTTTTAGGGCTTCAGCGCCGTAACATCTTGAAATACTACCGAATCATGGGGAGAGTCTTATTGATTGCTAGTAAGGAATGGAAGAATGTGTCTCCAAGAGTCGTTCGCTGTTTCTTTTCAAGTCCGGGAACACCTAAACTATACCTCCATAACTGCAGAATGCTTTATATGTTGTCCCCCATTCCCTCACTCCCACTAACAACTAAGGCGTTAGTCTTCGCTCAGGTGGGTGCAAAGCACGGTGCAGGGCTTTCGGGTCGAATTGCAGTGCGGAAATCCTGCAGAAGCAGGTTAAGGGATATACAGGTTTATAAAATTAGGGATACGATTTTGGGGTCCGTATATTGAGGACTGTAGCATTTTTTGTGGTCTATTTCGCTGTTTCCCTAATTTCAGGAACCTACCATACAGAGGCTGAGACGACTAGAATAGGGCTTCGGGGTCTCCTAACTATAGACTGTTAGACGATGGGATAGTATTCCAAATATTTTCGATTTCTACATAATGCAAAGTTTAGGCTTGAACCTATGGTTGAGGGTTCTGGGCCATCATAGTTCTGTTGTATCATGGGCACTGGTTTTTAGTCAATCCTTCTCACGACACGTGCCCTCTACGAGGACGTGGTGCTGGAAAGCCATGTATTTCTTTTTGGCCACAGGCTACCCGGCGTTTGGGAGTACATGCTGCATGAGTTGTGGGCTTAGGATTTGAATGCGACGAGGGAAGTTTAGGGGGTGTAAGGTTTTCTGTCGAGTGCGTTTGACACAGGACGCGTTTCGTTAGGGTTTAGGCTTTAGTGTTTAAGTGTTTAAGATCTGCGGTTGCAGGCTCAAAGCTTTGGAGGAAAGAAGCATTCTGGCACCTGTTTGTCTTCCATTGGCATCTCGGTGCTTTCGCAATGTTTCCTGAGTCAACGGTATGACATGCAGATTTCCACCACGTTGGGAAACTGGGAAACTTACTTTGGGAACTGGGCCACCACCCAGTAACAAGTAAATGAATTATATGAGCTATAGTCTAAACTCCAAAAAGGGGCGTTATATAGTGGGTCAAATAGGGGAGGATAAATATTTATAGCGGCTATCAAGGGGGATACTAGGAGTTTAGACTATAGCTCATAGGGCAGCTATATATAGATCTTGATATTAAGCTCATTGCACATACGCACTATCACTAGATGTGGCAAGCAGCCAAAGCTTACCCTGTATGTCAATGCCTTGGCCTGGGCTTTACTTGCAAACGGCCGCCGCTTATATCGTATATATACTACTACACAGATGCAGATGAGGTCAGGTATACCGGGAGGGTGGACCTGGTAAGTAAATTCCTAGTGGGGACAGCTGGGAGATATTCGATTCAGATGGCTCAATGTAGCAGCTATAAATATACTTACTAAGCCCCACAAGTAGTTATTGAAACATGAGCATTCTCCATCAACTGTACGCGCGCTAGGCCATAGTGACGTGTCTAAAGGGGATATCTCATTTTTTTTCGAAGCCCGCATTCAGCAATGTAGGACAAGGTTCGCCAAAGAAACGACAGGACGTGTATGCGGAGAAGTAGCACCAGCTTGGATACACGGGCGTGTCCCTGTGAAGTTTGGAAATAGGACCCTCGGTATTTGCATGATCTTTTGAGCTACAAAATCCCCATGCTTTCCCACCCTAAACCTCACATCGCAGCTGGCTTGGGAACCCGAAGCCCTAAACCCAAAACCCTGTCTCGTAAACCTTTCTCAGGTCTTAGCTTCCTCTACGCAGGATTCGGCTGGGTGCCGCCATCGTTTGTGACTGGCGGCCTCTGGATTATCTTCGACATAGCCGGGGGCCCGGCAACATGTTGGGGTTTCTCAGAATTAGGGGTACCATTTTAATTTGGGGGTCCCCATAATAAGGAGTATATTATTTTAGGGTCTATATTGGGGTCTCCCTATTTTGGGAAACTCCCATGTCAATAGATTTTAGTTCGAAGCGCTAACTGAGAGCAGAGCGCCCTCCACAGGCAACTGAAGTTTATGTGGTTTCTCTGCGGAACGTCCTTTCCCACGCGCGTGAGAACTGCGCTCGCAGAGTTGGGGGTCCCAGGGTTCAGGGCTTAGGGTTTGCGGCCAGCGCTTTGGGTTTTGCTCCCCAGCAAAAGACTACGACCTGCCACCCGACCGCCACCACAATCGCCCCCTGTCGCAGGAATCACCGCCATCACAACCACACCCAAGACGACATCAAACCCTAAATCCCTGAGCCCTGAACCCCTAAACGCCTAAACCCTAAAACCCTAAATCTAAAACCCCTAAACCCTTAAAGCTAAGGTCAAGTCAGCAGTACGAAAAGTTTTATCATCAGCCCACATGGCGAATCATCCTTCTGGTGGATTCCATGAAGTTACGGCCATTTTTCCGGATTCCCTGTAAGAAGGGTTATGTCATATTGGGGTTCGTTTGGGACACCCTTATCTATGTGAATGATTTCAGGGTTAGCAGCATTAACACCCCGCAAAAAAACCCTTAGCCTCAGAGGCCTTCGGCATGTCTTGGCTGGTGTTTTGGGCTGTGTGGATATTCTTGCTGCCCTTTGCGTGGTACGTTGGGTGCCTCGCTTGCAGCTTAATTGACGCTTTGGGAAGTTTTTTGTCTTGGGGCCTGGGTGCTGGGTAGTCAGGGCATGGGTAGGTATTCGGAGTGCAAGCAGTGTATGTTGGATGATGATTCCGGCGAAGCTCACTTGCTTGGTCATATCAGTGCAGGTAGCGCGGCTTCGGGCATGGGGTAGGATGTTTACGTTCCTTGGAAGCGGCCAAGAGGTCGGGGTCGCAAGCCT